TGGATGACCTTGCCTCGGAGGTGCTGGGCCCTCCTGTTTTCCACTTATCTGAGAGTTCCCAGACTCCTGGTTCCCGTCCTTGAGGCCCTAACAAAGTGGGCTCCGTCCCTGAAGACTCAACAGGGTAGCGATTAAGCTAACTTCCCCAGCATTCCCTAACATGGCGGTGATTTTGCTAATTCGGCCTAACACAATGTCTCCTTTTTCATATCAGATTTTATTTATTTAGACTTTTTTTTTTTGTTTTTTAACTTGCTACAGGGCACATATGGTCACCGGAGAGACAGACAGAGAGAGAGAAAGTGAGAAAGCATCCCCCAGGGGAGATGGCCATGCTGCAGTTCCATTTGCTCGTGGGATTAGGGGAATACACACACAAGGACCCAGTGTGTTTTTTTAAGACACTGCGCTGGGACTCAAAACACGCTGCTGGTCATGTGGGTCCATCCACCTTAGCTACCACATCACCAACTGGCTCATCTTTCCTCTTTTATTTTTTTTTATTAGTTAGTCTAGATAATGATTTTTTATTTTGTTTATCCTTTGGAAAAAGAAAAAAATTGGGGGGCCCAGCAGGTAGCATAGTGGTTAAGGAGCTGGATTCCCATATGGCTGATCGCAGTTTAAGTCCTAGGCTGGCAGCTTGAATATCATGCAGGGCGCATGTGTACTCAAAATTCCAGGAGGAGAATGGAGGAAAAAAGACTGCAGCATGGCCAGCCTCCATGGGAGATGATTTCGCACTTTTTTTCTCTCTGTCCCTCTCTGGAAGTCACTTGCACACTATGGCAGAAACCTAAACAAATATAAATATATATATATATATATATATTAACCTTTTAATTGACCCTTTGATCTCTATTTCATATATTTATACTCTGATCTTTATTATTTCTTCTACTACTGTTAAGTTTAGCTTGTTTTTGGTTTGCCAGTTTTTTGAGATTCATTATTAGGCTGTTTATTTACTCTCTTTTTATTTTTTTTGGTGTGAGCACTTATTGCTATAAATTTTCATCTTAGTACTGCTTTCATTGTATCCCACAGATTTTGGTATGTCATGTTTCTGTTTTCATCTGTTTTGAGAAATATTTTCATTTCTTTCTTACTTCCCTTATTGACCCTCCTGTCATTCAAGAGTATGTTGTTTGTTGCCATTTCTTTGTGTATTTCCCACAGTCCTTATTGTCGATTTCTAGTTTTATTCTCTTGTGGTCCATGTGTGGGTGAGAAGGTGTTCTGTAGCTGTTGGGTAAAATAGTCTACCGATGTCTGCCTGTCCACTTAGTCTACGGCACTGTTTAAGTCCACTGTTTCATTGTCTACCTTTTGTCTAGACGGCCTGTCCCAGGCTGAGAGTAAGATATTCACAGTTACGTTGTTAGGGCCTATCTTTCTCTCTCTGTCTTTATGTCTAGCAGCATCTGTCGGACGTATTTGATGGCTCTAAGTATTAGATACATATATATTTATAATTGTTATAGCTTCTTGCTGAATTGATCCTTTAATACTACATAATTGCCTTCTTAGTCTCTTTTTACAAAGTTTTGCTTAACCTCTATTTTATCTGGTATCAGAATACCTTCTCCTGATTATTTTTGGCTTCCATTGGAATGAAATGTCTTTCTTCCACCCCTTTACTACCAGTCTGTGTCTGTGTTTTCAGATGAGGTGAGTTTCTTACGGGCAGCATAGAGTGGGGTCATGATTTCTATCCATTCAACCCCTCTGTATCTTCTGATTAGGGAATTTATTTTTTACATTCCAGGTTAGTAATATAAGTACGGGGACCAGCAGTTGGCATAATGGCTATGTCGCTGGACTCCCATGTAGTCGACCGCGGTTCGAGTCCCGGACCCAGTGGCTTAAACTCATGCCAGGCGTGTGTGTGTGCGTGCCCAAGATCTTGAGGGGAGAATGGAAGAGAAGGGATTGCGGCATGGCCATCCCCCCTGGGGGGGTGATTTCTCGCTTTCTGTCTCTCTGTCTCTCTCTGTCTGGCGAGTGCATGCACCCTATGCAAAAACCTCTCCAAAATAAATAAATAAATAAATAAATACGGACTTAACACCTGTCATTTTGTTGATTACGTTGTCTTTTCTTTGTTCATTGTTTTCTGTTATTGCTTATCTTTGCTGTTTTGCAGTTTTTCATGGTGGTAAGCTTGGATTCTCTTCTTCATGTGACTGCCACTCTGGTGACATTTCTACCTCTGCATGTTTTCATGATGGTATGTTTTCCATTTGCTTCCACTGTAAGGGTCCAGAGATCGGTCTAACTGATGGAGACACAGGAAAGACAGCGACAATGCAACTGCAAAAGAGGCTTTTATTTAATTTTTTTCCAGATAGCTGGGGTCCAAGTCTCAGCCCGTCGCAGCGGGCCTTCACAAGGACCCCGAGCCTAAGATAAAGGGATCTTTTATAGTTCAGGATGTTCTCTAGACTGTAACACACAAAGGAAGGGGGGGTATGAGACGCGAGGGTCCAGCTCTCACCACCTGCTTAGGTCTAGATAAGGGCTCTCAGCTAAGGATTTGGATGACCTTGCCTCGGAGGTGCTGGGCCCTCCCGTTTTCCACTTATCTGAGAGTTCCCAGACTCCTGGTTCCCGTCCTTGAGGCCCTAACAAAGTGGGCTCCGTCCCTGAAGACTCAACAGGGTAGTGATTAAGCTAACTTCCCCAGCATTCCCTAACATGGCGGTGATTATGCTAACTCAGCCTAACACCACATGTAGGATTCCCTTAAGTTCTTTTTTAAAGAACTGGTCTTATGTTGGTGAAGTCTCTTAGTTTTTGCCTGCAAAAAAATTATTTCTCCTTCCATTTTGAAGGATAGCTTTGCCAGGTATATTATTCATGGATGAAAGTATTTTTCTTTTTTCAAAATTCTGAATATACTGCTCCATGCTCCCCAAGCCTGTAAGGTTTCTGCTAAGAAGTCGAATGGAGTTTCCTTCATATGTGACTTGATCATTTTCTCGGCATTTTTATTACTTTTCTCTGTCTTTGACCTTCTCTTTTTTTCTTTTTGGAGAAAGTTTTGTTACAGGACAGATGCATTAATCAGAGAGACAGAAAGACAGAAAGTGAGATATCACCCCTCAGGGGAGATGGCCACACCACAATCCCTTCTCCTCTATTCTCCGCTTGGGATTTTAGGCACACATGCACACATACCCAGCATGAGTTTCAAGTTGCTGGGTCGGGGACTCGAGACATGGTTGACTATGCAGGAGCCCAGTGCCTTGCCCACTATGCCACCTGCTGCTCCCTATCTTTGACTTTTAACATTCTGACTGTAATTTGCCTTGGAGATTTTTAATTGAATTTGTTTGTATTCTCTTACTTCCCGCATCTGGATATCTATATCCCTCTCTGGAGCTGGGAAATTTCAGTTATTTTATTATTATTATTACTATTATCTTGCCAGTGACTGCATGAACTCACTGCTGAGAGACACAGAGAAAGAGGGAAAGTGAGAAAGCATCTCCCCACACCCCACCAGGGCATGGTCATAGCCCAATCTCTTCTCCATCTCGCCCTCATTTCAGGATTTGGGGCACACATGCACAGGTTCCTGGTGTGTTTTTCAAGCTGCCGGGTCTAAGACTTGAACTGCAGTCACCCATGTGGGATCCAGTTGCCTTAACCACCATATCACACCAGTCAATGTTTTATAAAATAAATTCCCTATTCCTTTTCTCATCTCTTCTGCAAATATTTGGTCATTTCATTGTGTCTCACATGTTGCAAATGTTTTCCTCATTTTTAGAATGTTGTTCTTTCTTTGTGTCACACTGGATTGTTTCAAAAGCTTTGTCTTCAAGTTCAAAGGGTCTTCTAATTGACTTAGCCTATTGTTGATGGCAGTGAACACCATTAACATGTGAATACCTACCTGCCTCTGTGTTCTAAAACTACAGAGCAGTATCAGGTTAAAGGAAGCCACATGTGTTAATCAGAATTGTCACAAGAAGATTAGTGAAAACTTACACAGAACTACAAGGCACCAGGTGTCTTCCCATCTTCAGCCAATTAACATCTGAAAACAACTGGTTTTGCATTCCACTTCCCCTTCCCCCATCTTCTACCCTTTAAAAGAATAAACCTGGGAATAGTTTAGGGCCATGGCTGCCTCCATCAGAGGAGTCAGGACCACCTGATCCCCACTTTTCTTTACTTGTATGTCTTTGTGTGTTTCTTTCTGTGTTTATTTTAAAATCCACGGCTTCTCCCTTCCCACCCCTCACCCAGAGCACATGTTCATTTAGCCATGCAAGACATGGCAACAGGAGGACGGGAGATAGGCAGACATCCACATATCTGTTACCCATGGGTTACATTGTGGGCTGCAGGGGTTTATCCTACTGGAGAATCTCCAAGAATCCATGGGGGTTTGTGGCTGGGGCCCACCTAGTCCACTGCTCACATGTGTGGACAACATCATGTTGGAACACAACCACTCTTAATTGGTTGTACCTTGTCTATGGCTACTTTCAACACAATGGCAATGCGGGGTAGATGAGGACACCATGGGACCCACAAAACCCAAAAGAGTTACTGCCTGGAACATACAGAAAGAGCTGCTGAAGCCTGGTCTGGGAGAGACGGGCAAGCTGACAGGGGAGAGTCGGGCAGGTTGTCAGTAGCTTCTGGTAACCATGTGCCTCCAGCGATAATGGTAGATGTGTCCCCTCAGGGTTGGTGAACATTCCACCTGTGTTGGAAGGGGGTGGTGGTGCTGAGACTTTCTGGCTGCATCACGCACATTGGGTGCCTTGGGTGGTCACAGCCATTGCCTGTGGCCACATGGGCCACAGTGTATGAGCCCAGAGGCAGAAGCTCAGTTGCACGTTAGCTGGGCCACCTGGAGCCTACTCAGAGGGTGTAACAGGGAGGGAGGACCCCCAGGAGAGAGCCCACGAGACTGCCCAGCTGAGTCACTCCACTGACCACTCAGGACCGTCCTCCAGAACCACAGCACGTGAAGCTTCTGAAATTGCTCGTTTTTAATCATCTATTCCAAATGATTATGAGGACAATGAAGAATTTTTTAAACCCCTGACCCCTGGAAAGTAAGAATGAATAGATATACACTGTTCTGCCGATGGAGAGCCACCTTGAGGAACTCGCTGGGGTCCATGCAGGGGTGAGCAACAGGTGGCACCTGCAGGTGGAAGCCAATCAAGGAGCCTTCGAACAGGTCTGGTCCAGGAGATTAAACTTGGTGTGCCAGGGTTCAGTGTAGACGGTGAAGAAGCAGGTAGAGGTCTAAGGAGAAAACGCAAGGATGGGCAGTGTATCATGGCACCTCAGAGAGCTCAGGACACAGCGACTGGCTCGCCCTCCCACACCCAGGCCAGCACATGGGGAAAGGGAGCTCTGGCCCTCAGATAGGATGCCAAACCTGAGTCCCAGCTACTGCCGGAGTTGAGTTGAACAAGGGCCTTCTCCAGATCTAGGTCATCTGTATAATGCCCAGGCCCAGTTAGTGACCTAGAGCCCCAGGCTGTCCCAGTGTGATTCCAGCCCCCAAGAGCAGCAGCAGATGCTCCGTCCCAGCGAGGGCTGCTCTCTGACTTAAGCAATTAGCTAACCTACGACTTAGCCCCTGATAAGGAGGTCTGCTAACCCCAGGGAGGGGGTGCATTGCCCCCATGTCAAGCTTCACGTTGTCTTTATCCCTGGAGCAGGTGCTGCAGCTCAGCAGGGCCCAGGGTAGGGCCAGGAGGGAGAGAGATGGGGCCCCTACTCAGCCTCTACCCCTCGGCTCTAGGTCACCGTAGGGGAACTCTGGGAACTGCCCACACAGGGAAATGGATGTAGGACACCCAACGGGCTCCGTCCACAGAGGTAGGGAGGGGTGGGGGTGAAGACAGGGAGGGGACATGCTCTACTGGGGCCAGGAGACGAGGACTGAGGGGACAAGCATGGTATAAGACCATGTGGCCAGCTGCGGGGCACTGCAGGGGGCAGGGGATAGTCAGGAAGCTCCAATGGCTAGGGGACTGCGTGTGGACCTGGGCTGCTGGGCTGGGCTCCCCACGGAGCTGGGAGCAGGGCGGCCAGGGCCTGCCTGGTGCTGCTCACTGGCTGTGGCCCTAAGAGGGGCTTTGTCAGCTGTTCGCAGCCCCCGCCCTGCCTGCCTCGTGCAGGACCCGCAGCTGTGGAAAGGGGAGCAGCCGGTGTCTCATCTTACATTGTTCCATCCTGGATTTTCTTCAAAGGGGCAGTTTTCAATGTCTTCCTCCGATTTCCTACAGATGGTTCTACGCAGCTGCAGGTTCATGGAGATAACCATCTCGTCATGCTCCTGTGGTACACAGAGAGGTTAGGGTGATGCCCTCGTGCTGCCCTTGGGCAGCCGCAGTCAGTGCAGGGGGAGAAGACCCGTCACCACCCACCGTGCGCCCACACCCGGCTGTACTGGGAGCAGGCGCGGGACCGACGCTGCGTTCCCAAAGCACAGGGCCACAAGCCCGGGAGGCTGCAGGTCTGCACCACCTGCAAGGAAACCGCAGCCCAGAGAGGGGCCCATCTCCAGCCTGTCGTCAAGCCTTTCAGGTGACCGTGGGGAGAAACATGTCACACGGCGCCATGGCTGCACCAGGCAGGGGCTGGGACAGGGTCACCTGCTCCAGCTGTCCTTAGGAGTATGTCCCAGATGTGCTGTCTTCTTCCCCACCCTGCTCCGCCATTCCTCTCCTCCGCGTCCTGGCCACTGTCCCACCCCCACACCAACTCTGAGCCCTGCAGGTTCCAGCCCAGGGTCCCGGCAGTACAGCGTGCCCTCCCAGAGGCGTAGCCCTGTGCCAGGCTAGGGCCCCTCAGCCCTTCCATCAGGCTCTCGGGGCTGAGGGGGAAGAGCAGCGAACCCCCCAAGACCAGCAGTGCCCGTTAGGAGGGTATTTCCCGGGTACAGCACACCGCCCAGTGCGTCTGCAGGTGTTCCATTAGGGGACGCTCAGGAGGAGGAGCGGAGGCCCTCACCCCAGGACCTGGAGCCCCCCAGGAGCCCAGAGCAGGTGGAGATCCAGGAAAGGACCGGCCGACCCTCAGGGCAGGGGTGGACCCTTAGTGCTCCTCGAATTCTAAAGCCCCCGCCCCTGTCCTGTCTTTCTCCTCTCTTATTCTCTGCCTGTTTTTCTAAGTATCCTTTTTATTTTACCTCTTTGAATGGTTCCGTTTAACCCTATGGACATTTGCTTGGCAGCCTGCACCTCAGCCTGTGGCTTCATTATCTCACTTGTCCTTATCCCGAAGTCATTCTTCAGCTAAACTGGTTACCAGAATCAGGATGACTGAATAATATAACTGGACGATTGAATAATGTAGCTAGTATAGAGTAGGCACCAGATTCGACTTTTTAAAATCTACTTTAAATACTTTATGAAACGTGAGACCGACTTGCATAGGTTGCACCCTGATTTTGCCGGAAATGGTGAGCCAGGTAACCTTGAGAAGACCGGCCCCTCCGCCTGGCCCTCCCACCATCACTGGGGCACGCGCAGGCGCCGGCGGGAGAGGCGTGGTCACCCACCTTAGCTCTCCAGATACTCAGGATGCGCACCAGCCTGTAGGCGCGGTCGTCCCCGCTGTGCTGGTTGAACTCGTGCAGCGCAAACTCCACTGTGGCGGCGACGTAAGGAGAGATGGCACTTTTCTTACTCTCCTTGCTTTCCCCTTCAGAACACCAGGCAGGAGTCGGCAGCAGCTGGAAGCCCACCAGGAGCAGCAGCAGCGCCCTGGGCAGGGCCCGGGTGCCGGGCAGCCGCGACATGGTGCAGGCACCTCACTCTGCCCTGCCCAGCCCAGCCCCGCCTCTAAGGGAGCCTACCAGGCCCAGGTCCAGCCCTACATCCATAGGCCTGGCACAGACTCCTCCCTCTGAGCCTCCCCTCTGCCCACCCTGTCCCTTCCCACACGTGGCTTTGGCCCTTCCAACCAAAGGTACTTTAGTCACCTCTAACTGCGCAGGACACCGCAGACCCTGGTCACCAGACTGAACCTCACAGTGTGTCTCCAGGGGACAGTAAGCTGAGGGAACACCCAAATGCCTTGGAGAGCCACACCGGAAGCAGAGCAGTGGCCTCTTCTTTCCGCCAGAGTCTGAGTGGCTTAGGGAGGTCCACGGGGTGGTCTGCTGCCTCCCACGACGCTGGTTCCTAGGCAGGGGCCACTCCCGGCTCCCACACTGAGCTTCTCAGTGGCTGCCCACCCATCACCCTTGGACACTCCAGGAAGGAGACCCCGCAGGAGGAAGTGCTTTCCTGTAATCCACATCTACAACACCGGCCTCCATCACCCCTCCAGTGTCACACGTGCACACACAGGCACTTGCACACGCACACAGTCAGCTCTTCTTTCCACTCACCAAGGTCTCAGTCTGGGCTGTAGGCAGGGGCGGGCGCCCACCCAGGGCACTGGGACCTGCTGGGCTCCCTGCAGCCCCTCTGAGGCAGTGCAGCCACACTCGGGAGCCTCATTTCTGCAAAGGCACAGTTGCAGCAGGAGATGGAGGCCTGGCCAGCAGGCAGTGTAAACAGTAAGACAGCTGGATCCCACGGGGCTAAGAGCGCGTTTTGAATCATGGACCTGGTGGCTTGAAAATCATGCCAGACACGTGTGTGTGCATGCTCAAAATTCTGAGAGGAGACTGGAGGAAAAGGAAGTGTGGTGTAGCCATCCCTCCTAGGGGGTGATTTCTCACTGTCTACCTCTTTCTTTCTGTCTCTCTGGCAAGTGCATGTGCCGTATAGCAAACTAAAAAGAGAGAGACAGGAGATGGAGGCCACTTCCGAGGCCTCCTGGGATGCTGTGTGCTCTGTCAGCGTGAGGCTGGCGTTTGTTCTCACCTCCTCTTTCTGCGTTTCCTTCTCAGTCCTCAGCTGTGTTTTCCGACTCTTGAACTTTGTCCCTTCTCCTTGTTCCTCTTCTCTCTCAGTTCTCCTGTCATCCCTTCCATGGTAGACTTTAATCAGCATTTAAAACATATTGATCACCTTACTTTACTACCTTCATCCGTCTGCGATACTGTGGATTCCTGTCCATGTGGTGTGGCTGGATCCAGGAGGTGACCTCTCGTTAATAACGTGGGTGACAGTGAACATGGGAGCCCAACTCACAGAAGGCCTGTGCTCCTGCTGCCCGCTGGCTCTGGTCTTCATGGCTCACTTGCTTGGGGTCAGCTGCCTGGCGTGTGGAGCAGACCTGCAGAGGGGCCACGTGCTCCTACAACATCCAGAGAGGAGTGCGGCCTCCAGCTAACAGCCCAGCAAGGAACCTCATGACAGATCATCTGGCCCTGCTAGGGCTTCAGGTGAACCGCCCAGCTGACATCTCAGCTCCAGCCTCTTAAGGGAACTTCTGGCCCATAGAAATTGAGAGCAGGACCAGCAGTTGGCATAATGGCTATATCGCTGGACTCCCAGGTAGGTGACTGTGGTTCGAGTCCCGGACCCAGTGGCTTTAACTCACACCAGGCGTGTGTGGGTGCATGCCCAAGACCGCGAGAGGAGAAGGGATTGCAGCATGGCCATCCCCCCGGGGGTGATTTCTCACTTTGTCTCTCTGTCTCTTTCTGCCTTTCTGATGAGTTCATGCATGTGCCCGATAGCAAAACCTCTAAAAAGATAAAAGTAATTGAGAGAGAGAGAGCAAGAAGGATAGTCTAAACCATTTAGTTTTGGATAAGTTGTTACAGGAATAGATCACACAGACACACAGTAAGTCAATTATGCACTCAGAACTTGCACTCACTGAAGTAAATAGGAAGCAGATCTGGCCTTGGTTGCACACAGAGGAGGCTGAAACTGAGCTCCAGAGTGACCCCCTCCAGCTGGTTATAAAAGCCACTTCAGAGGGGCCGGCAGGTGGGGTGATAGCTAAGGGTGCTGGACTCCAACATGGCCGACCACAGTTCGAGTCCCAGACCTGGCAGCTTGCTTTCTCACTTTCTCTTTTCCCGTTCCTCTCTAGTCAAATTAAAATAAATAAATAAATGAAGTTGGGTAAAATAATTCTTAAAAAAAAAAAAAGTAGCCCCTTCAAAGGAGCGCTCAGTGACTGCTGTCTCTGGGTCTTCCTCTGTGGTCTGGTGTCCTTGTACACTCCGCAGCCTCACACTCCCTGCATTCCGAGATAAGACCCGGGACCAGAGAGTGATCCCCATTGTTCTGAGAAGAGCTGACATGTCGGGTTGCCCTGTCCTTGGCCGGCACTATGACAGTCCTGCTCTTTGTGCTAAGGGACAGGTTGGAGAAAACTTTCCATTCTTATCAGCCCTCCCAAGCAGGATGGACAGTGAGTGCAGCGGGAGAGGGCAGGAGCGCAGGGCCCCACGTCCAGATAGCCCTCGTCATGCCAGTCCGCCCCGCCTCATTTCTGAGGTTTCTGCAGGACCTCCCACACACATATTGTGAGATTCCATTTATATGACGTGCTCAGAGTAGATAAACCCTTAGAGTCTGAACACAGATTGTTCATTTCCAGGGTCGGGCGATGGGGAGTGAGGAGTAAGTGCTAAAGGATGCGGGGTACTCCCTTGGGGTCCTGAGAGTGCTCGGAGCAGGATGGGGGTGTTAGTACAACACTGCAGCTCTGGGTGTCTCTGAACCATTCCCTTTAAATTGATTAAGATTGTGCTGTGTAAATTTCACCTCCATTTCAAAACAATAAAATTTAAAAATTAAAGTTAATAAATGCTCCAGTTTTGTCAACGAGAACAGATCATTTAAAACTAGCATTTTCCGAAGCTTTGCATGCCGTTGCTTCCGAAGGTGGAGGCTGGATATCATTCTGGGCAGGGCCCATGGGCTCTGGTTTGGTGGGACCCCCCCACAGGCCTCCTGAACCCCCTCCAGGCGGCATGTCTGTGCACATCTGAGCGGCCGTGGCTCATGCACAGAGATGCGTGCTGTCACGTGGGTAACGTCCATGACCCTGCAGGGCACTGGATCAGCACAAAGCAGCCCAGACAGGGATACCAGCACCCCTCCACAGCATACGCAGACATGTCACAGTTCTCAGGGAATCCTTTACTGCTGGAGACATCCCCCTGACTCTCCCAGACCGGGGTGCGGCCACGTTTTCCGGAAGCTCCAGGGAGTAGCTGTTTTGCCCTTCATGGGCCCCACGGTGTCCTCACCTACCAACATTGCCACTGAGTGTTGAAAACAGCCATAGACCAAGTGCAACCAAGTAAGAGTGGTTTCGTTCCACACCTCATCGTCCACACACGCGGGAGGGGCTGGGTAGGCCTCGGCCAGAGCCGGCCCCTGACAGGAGAGCCCCCATGTGCAGCTGCAGCTGGTGCCCTGGGTGTCAGCATGCTGCAGTTCCCACAGCACCTGCAGCTTCCCGCTGGCTCAGGGCTTTCCTTGTGTCATTGGCACTCCGTCGGCCCAGCAGGTGCACCTGCAGGTGGGGGCAGGTCAGGCCTGCGGCTGCACCCCAACATTGGAGGGACACAGGTGAATGACCCAGTCTTTCAAGCTTCAGGGTGACCACTTCAGGAGTGAGTCCCTCATGGCTTTTCAGAACTTCTCCAGTAAGCCCTGTGGCCCATGGTGTACCCACGATGACAGATACTTCTGTGTCCTCTGCTCTGTCCCGTCCTCACTATGACTCCTGGGGTTACCCCAATAACTACCTGCACCCACCTATTTCTCAGGGGCAGCTTGGAGGGGTCTTTCCAGACCACCCAGGGAACGTGTCCTGCACAGGGACAGCTGGGTATCCCCAGGCCTGTGTTACAGCAAAGCCTAGGGAGAGCCAAGCACAGCGTCCTCGCCCAGGCTGGCCAGCGCTGAGGTAGGCACAACTGCTGCCCTGCATCCCCTCTGGACACTGGACTCCATGCACCCCTGCCTTGCCTAGTTTCACATTTGAGAAGTCGATTCTTCAGGGCCCTCCCAACACCTCCCCGGCTGCTCCCACCCTCAATCTTCCCCTGGACCATAATTTAATCAGCAGAAAGAAGCTTCGAGGAGGCCCCTTGCCCACTGGGACTCCCACAGGTATTTCCCTAAGTCAGCCCCACCTGCCCTTGCAACTTCCATCCCCAGCGGGTTCTGGGAGAGGGTGTCAGGGGTCTACCCTCTGCAGGACTCCTGGCTCTGACCCTCCATGAGCACAGCCTGCTGAGGGAGCCTAGGTGGCTGGGGTGAGGCCCAGGCGGCTCCAGGGCACAGGCCTGGCGGGCATGCTGGTTCCCACCCAACTCTGATTACACCTGTGGGTCTCTGTCCATTGCTGCACCCCAGAAGGGCATCTACCTCAACCGGGGTGTGCGGTGGCTCCATCGTATCTTCAGGGGCCTAGTTTTGGGTAACCTGGACTGGATGCTCTGGCCTGGTGAATGGTGGGCCTGGCATGGAGGGAACTGTTCTCTGGGAGAGCTGTGCCCTCTTGTCCCCCCACCACCACCTCCTGTGTCCTCCCCTGGGAGGCCTGGACATGTCCCCTGCTTCAGGAGTCTGTGCAGTTAAGAATCAGGGACTCGGGTCTATGGAGCATGGCCAAGGGGGCCCTGGGCAGGTGTGATGCCAGAGGCTGGGGGTGGGACCATGCCAGGAACCCCTGTCAGCAGCCACCCTGGGCCTCAAATCCAGGAAGCAAAAGGGGTACAGCCTACATGGCAGCATCATGAACTCCCTCGTCCTGCAGAAATGTGAGTTCTTGTCCAGCTTGCACCCTAGCCAGCCCTCAGCCTCAGCTTCCCCTGGTGTCCGTGTGGTGACGGGGCCTGCTTGGCCATCAGAGGCTTGACTGATCAAGCACACCGGGGGAAGAACGTAGCCAACCTACTTAC